ATTAAAGAACTCCTCTGAACATGGTGCTAGTGATTTTTTGGTTCACAAAGCTGCATTCTTTAGCTCCTGCAAAAGAATGTGTGTGTATATATGGTTCTTACACTGCATTTCGGGTTCAGATTTCTCACATAACTCTGAACAAGTCTCCTGCAAAAGCAAAAAATCACCCATGTATTAAAAGTTTCTTCCTAAATCTGGCCAAGGCTAGAAGATATGCTTCCCACCAAGTGAGCAATGGTGCAGCCAGCACCTTACTTATCATATCTGACACTAGCTAGTTAGCTAGGGTGTGGGAGCCTGAACAGGAGGACCGAGTGACATTTGAGTTTAAGATATGGATGTATGCATACATTCACAGAGGCTGCAAGTCGAACAGTCTCTTGTACCAGTCAATCAAAGTTGGCTTCATCCCCCGGTTTCACGTACACAACCTGCTAGCCAATCAAAACAAACATGGAGAATGTGAGGTCTGTTACTTTGGGATTGTCTGATAAAGAAAAGCAATACTTACCGAGGGATCTTCTGAGTCTACAAAAGGGAGTTCATGAGGGCGGGCCTTTTGCCTGCTTGGTAGATACAACCCATACATCAAAATTTGCATCAATCTGTCAACATCCAAACCATAAATGAGCAGCTTGTGAAGTCGTCTATGATGGGAGCTGAGGGGAGGGGCCTTTTCCTACTCTCATATTTTAGAACATATTTTCTTTTATTTCATTTAAGAATGGTTAAAAACTTAAAATGCATAAAAGTTCCTTGAGCTATTATTAGTACCATATCATTTGTCCCCAAACTAATAAATCTATCATTTCATTCCTTATTCAATTGAGTTTGTATTAATCCAGAGTCCTATCGTTTTTAAAATTCAACAGTTCAAGATATTACTCTGTATGAACATCTAAAAGCCTGTATACTTAAGACATAGAGGCCGTTTGTCAACACTGTTTTTCGGCTTATCAGCCAACTTTTTCACCAAACACACAACTTTCGCTTTCGCGCGCTGAATTATGTAATAAGCAGAAAAAGTAAGATCGAAGTTACTTTTCTGGCTGTATTGGCTGAAGTTACTGTAGATGACCATTTTAGCTATTTTACAAATAATTTTTTATTTATTATATTAATAAAATATATTTTAAAAATATTTTTTTCTTAAATCAGCAGAATCCGCCAATGCAGCCACTTCAGCCAGAAGAACTTCAAAAATTTTAGCAGAATCAGCCATATCAGCCAATTTTTATGCTATCAAACGGGCTCGTAGTCTACTTGGGAAAAAATCCACCTAAAGAAGATCAAAGAATTTTTACAGCGGAAGCAACTTCACCTGCTATGCATTTTATTTTAAATGCTCTGTCTAATACTCCCTCCGTCCAAACTTTGCCAACTTTCCTTTTTTGGATGTCCCATAAACTTTGCCACTTTCTCTTTTTAGTAAAGAATTTGTGGTTCCGGTTAATTCTCTCTCCTGTGCACAAACCTCAACCACACAGTTTTTACTTTATTAATCTCCGTGTCGGTCAAACTTGATAAAGTTTTAAGGGACGGAGGAAGTAATACTAATACTAATAATAATAATTACTATTATTATTATTATATTTCTTTTCTTATTTAATTTTGTCTGCTGTGTCTCCATATAATTGAATTGCTTGATTCCCTCTTAGGATGTTTTTAATTCGACTTTGACTTTCTAGTCTGGTTTGTTGCATTTAAGTCCAGTCTTTATTGGTACAATCTAAACTAGTCTAGTAAATATTTGTTCTATGTGTATTTTACAACTATCGAAATCTGATCTGATTTGGACTGTTAAATTTTGATCTGGTCTGGGACTGAAACCAGTCCAATCAAAACATCCTTATGAAAATACAAATTTGATACATATATTAAGAAAATACATATTTGATACATATATTGTTTTTTAATCCAAGTAAAAACTGCTTTGGAATTGATGGAGACCAATCTACTTGATCTTTTTGAAAAGAAACTCCATCTGAAAACAACCTCATGTTTAAGAAGGATGTTTTGATCTAGTCCGTTCTATGTGTATTTTATAATTGTAGAAATTTGATTTGATTTGATCTGATTGGTCTGTTTAAGTTTAGTCCGGTCTGGAACTGAAACCAGTGCCATTAAAAGCATCCTAAATGGTAATAAGATTAATGTTTCACCAACAAATTTCACTAGCTTTTAAGCAATTTGCCCTAATTGGAAATGAAGTTAATGATTGATCTTAGAACATTTTTACACCGAGTATTTTGCAAGTGGGCTTATCATCCGACGTCTTTGATCACTTTCTTACATTTTATATAGATGAATCATGATTGATGATTTAAATATAAGCTGCTATTCGTGCAATATGTTTCACCTATTGTCAATGTAACAACAAAACTGATCGAAGGGCTAGATGAATATAGACTAAACTGAATAAGGATTAAAGTGATAGATCTATTAGTTTGATAACGAAAAGGATGATATGGTGATGATAATTTAAAATCATTTATACATTTTACCCTTTAAGAATTACATTAAGACTTCAATTTCTTTTAAGGTATTTGGCTATTTCATATCGTAGTTCATACAACGCAAGGCCGGTCTTTGGGCATGGGCAGGTGGAGCATGCACCTAGGGCCATTTGCTCCACTAGGGCCCATAAATTTCTCATATGTGTGTGCATCGATATTTTAATTACACATACATCCTAAATCTATAAAATTTAAAAAATAAAATCAAACTTATTTTTTTAGATACTCCCAATTCGTTATTCGGTATCTACACGATACAAGTCTACAATTTTGAAATATTCACGTTACAATTTATTAGGAACATATTTCATTATTTCTTTTGAATCATTAAAGGTTATTACATTGATTTTAATCTTTTCATGTACTTCTCTTGTGTATATCCAGAATTCATTGATATATTTCACAAATTTTCTATGATTCTCTCATTTAATGAAAGATTGAACTATAGTGTCCATAATGTAGAAACTCAAATTTTGTTTTTGTCTAGTGAAAATGTGATTTAAAATATGAAAAAGTTATTCGTCCTTGTATGAGATAAACTTTCACAACTTTCCTTTATTCAATTCTTTTTATTGCACGTAATAGTTGCACTACTTGTTTCACTCGGCTGATTTGGGTACACAGTATCCTTGAATGTCACTTATCAAATACCCTCTATATACTTTTTCTAAGGTTAAAGGGTCAAATAGGCCCTCAAACTAACTTAAAAAGTGCAAATCACCCCTTATATAGAAGGCTATGTCTGGCCATCGCCATTTGGGTCGGTTCCCGATGGAATTTTTTTATGACATTTTTTAAGAATCGTCTTCATTAAGTCTAGTTTACTCATACCAAATTTCAGCTAAAAATTCAATCGGGAAGGCAGTCAAATGAATTGTTGAAGATAACTGCGCAGTTAAACAGCGTAGTACATTTCAAAAAATCATTTCACTATCTTCCCGGTTGATTTTTTATCTAAAATTTGGTATGGATAAACTAGACTTAATGAAGAAGATGCTCAAAAAGTTTCATCAAAAATTTTCACAAGGAACCGCCCTAAATGGTGACGTCCGGATAGAGCCTCCTATATAAGGGGTGATTTGCACTTTTTAAGTTAGTTAGAAGGTCTATTTGACCCTTTAGCCTTTTTCTAATCATCTGTTTTGTTAGTTTTTTTATGTGTTATACTAGTATTTGGACGGCAGGGGCAGATTTAGGGGGGGGGGGGGGGGGGGGGCTCCCTTGGACTTTCAAATTTTTCTTCTATATATGTAGTACTTTCATAAAATTTTCATACTTTAATTAGATGTATATGTTTTCGCCCCCTTAACTTTTTGTTTTCAAAGTTAATACTCCCTCCGTCCCTAATCTTTCTCCCTTTTCGGCTGGGCACATTTATTAAGATAGTGGAATTTGTGTGGTGGAGAGTTGTGCAGAGAGAAATGTGTAAGAATGTGTAAAAATGGTTGTGAACCACAAATTTTTTGCTAAAAGGGGGAAGAGGAGATAATTTTGGGACGGACGAAAAAGGAAAGTTTGAAGATAATTTAGGGACGGAGGGAGTATATAGTCTTACATAGTGTAATACTTAATTGGAGATTTCAAAGAATTAAAATCTAAAATAGTTTAGATAGTTTAAGACATAGGATACCTATTATATAAAAATTCTATTCATTGCAATATTTAATTGTCTTTATTCGATAATTAGTACTCCCTCCGGTTCTAAATAAACTTCACACTTTCCATTTTGGGTAGGTCCAAAATAAACTTCACACTTCTTCTCCCTTCCTTTTTTTGCAAATTATCTACATCAAAACAGTGCAAAACATTGCCAAACAGTGTTAAACAGTGTCAGTGGACTCTACAGTCAAGTCAAATTTATTTTCTTAATTTGTGTGAAGTAAAAGTGTGAAGTTTATTTAGGACCGGATGGAGTACTAAATTTTGTAAGAGTTCAAATGATATTAAATATCAGACACACTTGTTAAACAATTTTTGGATCATGTGAAGTGAATCCAAAATATAAATGTTTGTTGACATTAAATTATACAAATCATTTAGTTCTTACTTTCTAAAAGCAGCTTATGGCATAAATAATACATTTTAACGTATTTTAGCATTAATACAAATATAATATGCACCATATATATGAATTAACAATACTTCTTTTCCTCGTCTTTATCTACAATTAATTAATTCGTATTGTTATATGATCCATCGATTGATCGTGTAACTATGTAAGGATGGATTGAAATGTAAAGAGTGATTGACGAAGAAGAAGCTGATTTGGTGGCGGCCCTGGGGAAGATGTAACGTGATTTTGGGCTTGGAATGCTACCCATCGCTCGCTCACTCACTCTTTCTATCATCTTATCATCAACTAACTCTTGGCTGCCAAGAAGATTAATTGTTTAGTGTAACACCAGCCTAACTGTACACATGAACAGCAACAACATTTCTTGCTCACACGCCCCAGATCCACAAAATATGTTGTATCAACGTGACTTTTGTATCGTGCATTTTTTTGTACAAAAAACATTTCAAAACAAATGTTACATTATACAATGTTTTGTGCACGAACACCGCATGTTCATTATAATATAAAGTGCCAACGAAACAAAATTCTTCCTGTTTCATCCAAGGCACTTGAGCACTTTCAAGAATCTGTCTATTTATACAGAAAAAGTAAAGGGACCCCGAGACATAAATAATAAAAGGTTGCAAAATCAAGGAGACTACTACACCAGAAACTAAGACTACTGCTGCTGAGGCCATCATAGAGAACAACGAAAGAATATAGATACAAAAACACCACCCAAAAAAGCCAAGGAAGAAATCGATAAGAGCATCTTCAAACTTCTTACTTCTTGTGAATTTTATTAATAGAACTCACGAACACTGGCAAATACCTTTTGGTACCATACGGGCATCCGAAGAAGCGAATAACATTTTCCCATCCCTTTGTTGTAGTCTCATCGCCACCCGAACTTAAATGACTCAAGTAAGTCTTGCCCTGGTAAATGTACCAGAGTTGCTGCCACAACAGCATACTTAACCCTATCTCCACAGAAACACTACACATAAACAGGTACATTAGAACAACTCCTCTTGCCTGGAGAAACACCAGAGAACTCAGAAAGGCAGTAGTGAATTTTTTCAACTCATTGTCATGTGTTACAGTCCCAGAACTAATTGTTCCATAGCTAAATGAAGGCCAAGTATGATATGCTGCATAAGCAGACATAAAGTTCACGTAAAACATGCTTATAACGGCTGACATGAGGAACATGATGAAGAACCGGTGATTTTCTGCACCGACGCAGTTGCCAATCTGACAAACAGCAGCGAAAAAAATGTATTGCTTGGTGTATATTATGTTAATCTATATATATCAATCATTTTCAAGATATAGACCAAGCCCTCCAAGAGCCCCCAGGAAAAAGAGCATCCATCCAAACAGACCCTAAGGGAATCGAGTCAATAGCCATGAAGGCTTACAATTTACATTTGGTATATTCATGCCATTGTATATAACAAAAGATACCATGAACGTAGTAAGGTACAACTTTTAAATTTTGGTAATGTGCTACTTTTATAACTAACTCCGCCATGAGATCAATTTTTTGGAATCATGCATGTCCCAAGCCATGATAAAGAAGAAGGGTGATGTGGTAGGCGTGTGACAGCCAACAGTATTACTTAGTCACATCACATGACATGAATCGAAATATGAATATCTTTTGGTAGTGATATCATGTATCGATTCATGTTAGCCGACCTCATATCTTTTGGGACTAAGGCTTGGATGTTGTTGTTGTTGCTACTTTTATAACTCATCAATCCTGCACATGTTATTATGTTCATCTTTTGTTCACTGAGTTTATATTTTTTCACCCCTTGCCCCACCATAGGTGGGACTGTGGGAGCCTTTACGACACTAGGTAATGATGATGATGAGTTTATATTTTTTTAACTTGTTTTACACCCTCTATTTGGGAAAACTACAATCACTTCGACAAAAAAGTAATTCATTTTTGGAACACAAGTATTTTATAAAAACAAAAGTTTTTAGGAGTATCGCACCTTCATATACTTGGTTCAATTTAGATTGAAATTTTTTCAAAGTTTATAGAACAAAATGATTTGTTTTCTGTTTCTGTCTCAAAACCTAACCATTAAATTTCAAAATTTCAACCATACATAGATTTAGATTTAATTATTTCTTATTTATATTTTTCTTTTTTCTTTTCTTTTCTTGGGTGGGCTGTGGGTATGAGATCATCTATCAAATGTCAATGATATTTTGTGTTTATAATGATCATAAAAATTATTTTCCCATGTGGTCAAGTAAATATATCCAGGGCATAAATGAATAAGAGTGAAGTAATACTCCCTCCATCCCTTATAACTTTGTCAACTTTCCTTTTTTGGTTGTCCCAAAAACTTTGCCACTTTCCATTTTAATCAATCAATTTGTGGCTCCTGTTATTTCTCTCTCCTCTGCACAAATATCTACCACACAATTTTTACTTTATTATACTACGTGCCGGTCAAACTTGGCAAACCTTTAAGGGACGGAGGGAGTACAATTATACATTAATATCAATAATCATCAAGCAAAAACAAGAAGAAGAAAATACTCTATACTAGATCCGGATACTTACAAATGGGCAGTGATGATCCATGTCCAAAACACACATCCCACAAGATCGGCAATGGTGTGTCCTAGGGGACTTTGGCTTTGAGCAGTAGTGACAGAATGTGTAGTTCTCAAGTCCACCCTTTCCCACTGCAGGATAGCTACCCCACAATATGTTGGGAGGAGCACCAGCAGATCGAAATGCAGTGAGGCTAAATGTAGATATGGTAGATATGGACAGTGTTACTGCTATAATAAGGTGAAAAACACCATGACAATAATTGATGGAAAGGACAATTGGATAAACAGCCCAAATACCGCCACCTGAACTACCAGGAAACAGAAAAGGCACCAATTAAATTCTGTTAGCTTAAAATCAGGCATATTACACTCAAGGAGGAGGCCAGGAATTCAAGGTTGGGTTAGAACTACTCAATTAGGTCATAATACACGTGGGCCAAACCCCACAAAAAAATTAAATCATATCAATTAATCAGTTCTTTCCATAGCCAAAGACACTATTTTTGGCTTGGGAATATGATGGAATAAAACAAAATGGCTCACTAAATTGTATGCACTTCTTTGTAATGAAGCAATAGTCAGTCCAAACAATTTTCGGCGTGATTCTCATCATGGGTCATCTGAAAATAGTCTCTATGTGCTTTAGTAGAGGGGTAAGGCTGCGTACATCAATTAAACAGTTCAACTCAAGATCTTATAAAACCAATTCTATCTTTTTAATATTCCCATTTCTTTCTTTTTTTTATATACTGATGCAGGACAGCAGGACTCTAACAATAGTAACAGTATATTGGCCCACTGGGCCAAGAATAACATTCAAAGTATACTGGCTCAGCTACAGACCATCTCCAATGCAAGTCACAATGGACCTCTGCATTAAGTGTCCTGGTACATCCTGGCAAATGGGAATCCAAAACTGCTAAAGAAACTCTAATGATTTGTTGTTCAACTAACCCTAAATTAACGTAGATTTTCTTTTTTAGTCTTATAAATAACCATATCACAGGGAGATATTATGTCAAACATTGCCTCCAAAAGTCCGATTTTTGTATATGTTATAATTTATCATGAGAAATTTGAAAACATCATAAACTAATTCCTATATAAAACTTCGACTTTTTGTTGTGTAACGGAAAATTAAAATCAATGGGGTAAACCGTCGCTCAGATAATCAACGATAAAATACCGTTGCCCAGAGCCAAAAGGCTAAAACCAATTTTATTCCAAGATAAGCAAGAATGAACTCTGGCGAGGGTATAAATAGCCTTCTAAGAGAAACCCTAATCGGGCCCAAATTAAATAAATCCTAATTAAGCCCATACTAAGTCTACTAAATATTCTACTAATAATAGGCCCAAACAAGAAAACATAACATAAACTTTATAATAATAAATAAAACTATAACCCTAGCCCACAACCAGCCCACGGAAGTGGGCCCAAACCCATTACCGTCCCTTGATCTCTGTGCTCTTTATCAATCCATCCTCCTTTGAAACAACCTTGTTCTCAAGGTTGGAATCCGGAAACCGGCTCACATTTGGCCCCGGGGGATGCCCAGTATCTTTAGGAAAAATTGAGATGTACTCCGCCACAGTCCTTGTCTGCTTGCCTCCGCTCAGCTGTTCACAGCAATTGCCCTTAAACCGTGAGTCAAAACGAGCCACCAATGCATGTGTAAACTCATCCCATTACCTGCCCGGCTTTCCTTCCCGTAACCAGGTCAACCGGTGTAAGGCTGACCCTTCCATCGCAACTACAGTGGCTGCCACCTTCTTTCCCGACGGAGTACAGCTCAGTTCGATTTGATGCTCAGCCCTAGCAACCCAACCGATCGGGTCTTCTTCATCAAACGAGGGCAGCGTCGTGAGAGAAGTGTTGCACAGTCCAGTTCCAAACGTGGATGCTGCTGCCGCGTCGAGTGAAGCCACCGCTGATGAATTCTCCTCCGCCACTGGCGGCGCGAGAGCCTTCGTGCGCGCAACCAAGGAGGTTGCGATCTCTGCCAGTTGGATTCCTTGCGCGTCCAGCGTCGCACCCCTTACATCCAGTTTTTGGTTCATCAAAACCAGTTTGGCCTCCACCTCTGACAAACGTTCACTGGTTGATCTCATCATTCCGGCGGAAACGGGATCTGGCAGGTCGGACCAATTGTTGTGCAACGGAAAATTAAAATCAACGGGGTAAACCGTTGCCCAGATAATCAACGATAAACATACCGTTGCCCAGAGCCAAAAAGGCTAAAACCAATTTTATTCCAAGATAAACAAGAATGAACTCTGGCAAGGGGTATAAACAGTCTTTTAAGAGAAACCCTAATCGGGCCCAAATTAAATAAATCATAATTAAGCCCATACTAACTCTACTAAATACTCTACTAATAATAGGCCCAAACAAGAAAACATAACATAAATAAAACTATAACCCTATCCCACAACCAGCCCACGGATGTGGGCCCAAACCTGTTCCCGACCCTTGATTTCTCTGCTCTCTATCACTTTTCTTCTATTTTATATTTTAATAATCCCCTAGAAGAATAAAATGAGGGATAGAAGGAGAATAGAGAACTATCACATCATTATTTGCATAGCACGATACATGCAAACCAGATAGAAATAGTCTGAATAAACATCAGTTTACTAAGAGACACATTGTTATCCTCAATTTTTTTGCATTAAAATTTATGTTCCGCTTTTTAATAATTTGAAAAACTCCCTCTATGATTCTATCATGACAAAACAGATGCATCCATAGGATGAAAAGCCTGCAGACTTACATATTATGAAGACCATGAACAATATTAGAAAAATGACAAAACAGCGGTCTCTCAAGCGTTTCCACTTGAAGCATTTGTTATCACTTTTAATTACATTGTCATTTGTAATAGCTCCACACCACACGCATCTGAAAGCAGGGGCATATGGTGAAACAAGTAAACGAAGCCCACAACCCCAACAAGGCCTCTCATTATCTTCACTTGCAGCTGTTATGCAATGTTCATCCTGAGTGTAAATATCATATTACTTCTCTATCTTATAAGACTTACATGAGATGATACAGTTAGTTGTGGATTAATAAATAGGAATACAAATTATGAAGGATTGCCAAGGAGTAATCTTGAGTTAGAAATAAAGGCATCGCCAGTGAAAATGGAAACTTATTACCAGCATAAAGCCAACAAATGTTCGAAAAGGACATCTCCGTGTAAAAAAGAAATTGGCATAGAATGTATAATTGGACAGATAACAATGGAATAAGGAAAATTTGTCAAGCTGGATAGAAAATATAAACGAAGGTCGTATGTTAATAATGACCATCTATTCTTTTTACTATTTTTATATTTTTACTTTGAGTACTTCTAGAGAGACGTGAAAATAGTACATTATGAAGTAACATTATTAAGTGTTACAAATTCTTTGAGCTATGATCACATGCCTACTTTATCATGAACTAAATGTGTCCCGCATAACAATGTACTAAATTCATAATTCTTTAGACTTTTGGTTTAGCATTTAAACATTAATGTGTTCCTTCAACCAAAAGAAGAAGCAAATGAAAGAAGAGTGCTTTAAAGATGAAGGTTTAAAAAAATTCAAATGAAAATACCAAACATTAATCTTAACCACCTCAGTTTGAACTCTTCCGGGCATGAGAAGAAGCTGAAATTAAGAAACATAAACTACCATCTCAACCTAATTTGAAAATGCCATTGCTCAGCTTTTGAACCTGTTTTGCACATTTTTTTCTTTAGTATTTAATTTCAATAGGAGAATAAAAGGTTATGTCCTCCACCCCTCACACAATAAAAGCCAACATGTTGATAGTGTAGTTCTTCTTAATGTTATTAAGGTGATCCTAAATAACATTGAGGTGATTCTGATTAACAAACAGCAAAAAAGATGCATGCGGCAGCGTGGCAGGGCATACTCAATGCCGAAGCTCCACACAATGGGGGTGGGAAATGAATAATCTAGACGGCCTTTCCCTTTTTTCACAGGGAGAAGGATGTGGGCCCTGAAAAACGATGCATGTTGATATAGTATAAAACAAATGTGATTTACTACACAATAATTTGTGTTGTTGAACTAAATGATGAAAGAGCAGCTACAAATCTTGTTTATTTAATGCAATGATGAATCAATGTATGAGGAATCTCTTGATTCTAAATCATTTTTGTGTCACATTAGATGCAAGACTATCTCCTAGATTAGGTAAAAGTTCCTCAAACAGTAGATAGCCAAAGAAAAATGAATGAAGCTAATAGCAGGTAGTCTCATATAGTAATATTATAAGTAGATGCATCATGGGTATCTTGAAACTCATAAATTTCTTCATCAATGAGCACCGAAAGGGGATAGCCCATAAAAACTATGTATAATCAACTATAGAAACACTGATTCATTTGGCTAAAAAAATCCATAAAAAGAAAAACGATCCCATATTACTTTTACTTAATCCCTAAAAGCTTGTTGGAATAGCAGTTGAAACAGTAATTTGTTATCTCTAGGAATTATTTGTAATCCAAATCACATAGTATCCTTTAGATTCCAACTCTCTACTTAGGACAAGAAAATCTAAAACTGTATAAAAAAGGCAATCTTAAACACTTTCATGTCCCAGTTACCTCTATTACGTAAGTAGATTCAAAATAGGTAGTGTACGGCATTATACTAAAATATCATACTGCACACCACTTAATGTTTCAGAAGTTTAGTGTAAATATTTTTCTTTTGAAAACGAGTAAGAGCTGAAGAGCATTATCGCATCCCATTGAACTAACAAAATAAGCAACCTCATAAAGGGGGACATAAAGTAAGTGCAGCAAATACCACATTTCATGTTCAATTCTAAACCTTCGAGTTGGATACATGAGAGATAGTGAAATCTATGCGACGTTAATTAAGACTAACAAAAGCTTAAGGCAAATTATTCCTTTCCACACTTCCAAGTTAAATTTCTTCTTATTTAATGATATAAATGCTTTAAATATACAGGGATTTCTCCGTGGAAATAATATCATTTCAGCAGCAGCCCAGATCATTACTGAATTCTAATTAACGTTAAAAAAATCAACAAAGTAAATTGATTCTACGTCTTTACGTGAAGATATAAATTTCAACATAAAAAATCAAAATTTGACCCATATCTATCATCAGAAACATACACGTATATATGTATTGGCAAGTCTGAGATCATCAAATTATATAAAAAGAAATACGGAGTATAAAATATGAAAATCAACAAGAAATCAGTTTCCACGAGTGTTTAAAAAAGATTATCAAGGCTGTGAGGGAGAGGTACCGGAGAAACGACACCGTCAATGATGGCGGACCTGGTGGCGGGGGCAGCGGATGTAGTGGTGGAGTAAGCAAAATCCATAGTCCGCAGCCCCCCAGCTGTCTCCGTGATGGTCGAAGCGCGCTTTTTTCCTTATTTAACTGTTCTTTTCTGCTGTCTTCGCGAGATTAGTTGAGGAAGTGGAAATGACCTTCTATTATTTATAAGTAGTACTCCCTCCCTTCCTAAATAAACTTCCAACTTTCCTTTTCCGTCCGTTCCAATTAAAATTTCCACTTTCCTTTTTTGTTAAAAAATTTGTGGTTCACAACATTTCTTACGCATTTCTCTCTCCTCTGCACAACTCTCCACCACTCAATATCCACTATCTTAAACTTTGTGCCAAACTCATTTTGAAGTTAAAATGGGAACGGAGGTAGTACTACGTATGTTATTGTGCCTATGTTTTTAGGATAGATAATTTTGTACACGTTCTTATACATTTGTCTATATCACATCATTTTTTTGTTGTGAACCAGCATGTTTTGTCTACAATAAAGTATTAAGATAATTATCTTCTTTAGATTTGAATTGTTGGTGATTTTGGAGACTAATATTTGTGTTATTATTTGCGATTTGTATTTTTTATTAATTTTGTTTGAAAATAGGTGTTAAAATATAAAAGAACAATGAGATATTTCAAGTTCTGGCTTTAACAGATCCAACCCGAACCCGGGCCGAACCTGGGCTACCAAAAACCCGACTCGGACTGAATATAATGGGTAAGGGTGGACATAACGGTTTGGTTTAACCGAACCAAATCGTACCAAACTGAACTAAACCGGACCGTATGCAATTTGGTTTTAGTTTGGTACTAATTCTTCCGAACCTAATTCATATATATATAGAAAAAATTCCACTTTTGGTCCCATGACTATTATACCACTTCCATATTTAGTCTCTTACTTTCAGATTGTTCACATTTAGTCCGTGACCATTATCCCTTTACCACCCGTCATCCTTCCGGCCAAAATTCCGGCAAATTTAGTCCACTTATCAGCCTCAGAATCAGTCTTTGCATTAAATTTTATATAAGGTTGGGTTTTTCATATTAGTCTTTGCATTAAACTTGGTTTTTCATACCTAAAATCTGCATTAAATTTGTCGGAATTTTGGCCGGAAGGACGAGGGGTGGTGAGGGGATAATGGTCACGGACTAAATGTGGACAATCTGAAAGTAAGAGACTAAATATGGAAGTGATATAATAGTCACGGGACCAAAAGTGGAATTTTTTCTATCTATATATATATATATATATATATATATATATATATATATATATAGAGAGAGAGAGAGAGAGAGAGGAAAACTTTCCGGTAAGGTATACCTTACCGGAGCCGCCGTGAGGCCTCCACGTTTTGAGGGCCTTTCCGATGGAATTTTCCGATGAATTTTTTTTGAGCATGTTCGTCATCAAGTCTAGTACATCTATACCAAATTTCAGCAAATAATTCAATCGGGAAGGCAGCCAAACGATTTTTAGAAGATAACTGTGTTTTATATGTATACTAGGAAATTGATCGCGCGTTGCACGAATATTATATGCCCAACACATTTTTTATGAATTTTGTAAAATTTTCAGCATTAGTATTTTGAGAATAAATTGATCATGTGTTGCGCGTTGCTTTTAGAGCACAAATTATAAAAGCAACGCGCAAATTCTAGAGCACAAATTCTACGTATTTTTTATTTTATTGGGTTTTTAAATATACAGTTATTTTGAGAACAAAATGTATGTATTGTGTATGAGTTTATTTATGAATAAGAAGGGAGTATCATGAATATAAGCAACTACTGAAGGTATTATTTGTAGCTCATGTTTAACATTTTGCTTAAAATTGCAGAATCTGTATGATTTGTTTTGGAGAGTCACGCTGATTTTTAGTCTTTGCGGTTAAAATGAGCATAATAGAATTCATACACAATAGATCAGCAAATACATAAAAAGTCTTGAAAGTTCTGTCTCTACAAATAATTGGAGTAACAAACACCTAATATGATTAAATTCATAAATAAGACATATACATACGCTCTCAAAGTCATAGTTCTTGACAAAATTATTCAATTTAAATTATTTGGTACACGATCTCACATGTAGAACTATTCTACTCGGGCATATAGACAAACTTGTAGTGGGTTTGATTTTTATTTAAAAAAACTCTAATGTTTTTTATTTTTGTTTTCAAATTGAAGAAAACAAACTACTTTAAGGTGAGCAATTTGTACCAAATTGATGAGATGTGTTCAATCCATCTACCAACAAACATTTACATGAAGTTGAATGAGAGCCCGTTTGGTAACCATATTTTTTTTGCTTTTCAAGCTTATCAGCCAACTTTTTCATCAAAACGTAACTTTTGGTTTCGCGCACTGAATTGTGTAATAATAAGAAAAAGTAAGGTTGTAGTTACTTTTCTGGTTGTATTAGCTGAAACTACTGTAGAGGATCATTTTAGCTATTTTATCATATAATTTTTCATTTATTTTATTTCTAAAATATATTTAAAATATATTTTTTCACAAATCAGCTGAATAGCCAATACAGCCGCTTCAATCAGAACTTCATAAATTTCAGCAGCATTAGCCGATACAGCAGATTTAGGTGTTACCAAACGGGCCCTGAATCCGGCATTTAAACATTAGCAACTTACAGAAAGACGTGATAAAATTATCCCCCAAAACCAAACCAATGTGAAAGATGGATATAAAAAGTCGGAAACCTCATCATCTTGTCTTCTAAGGCCATATAAGAAGGATTTAACATCTTAAATGTATGTGAATCAAATAAAGGGAACTCCAGAAGTCGCCATATTAATAAGGGCCATTGGAAGATAATCCACACTCATGAAATGCACACCTATTAGCTTAAGCATCTTAAATGTATGAAGCCAAAGTTCAGTAGTGTGCTATTGTGTATTGATTTGCTCAAGGTGTATAACTCAACACCGTTATACAAACAGTATAACACCGTAAGTGATATAACTCAACTGGATAGTAGCAGTACAACCCAGTGAAAAAGCGTACGGTATGATAAAACATGAAAGAGCATTTAATATGAAAAACTGTCCTTTATAAAATAGGTTAAGAGACATGATAAAATTACCCCCCAAAACCAAACCAATATGAAAGATGGATATTAAAAGTCGGAAACATCATCATCTTGTCTTCTAAGGCCATATAAGAAAGATTTTAACATCTTAAATGTATGTAAATCAAATAAAGGGAACTCCAGAAGCCGCCATATTAATTAGGGACTTTGGAAGATAATCCACACTCATGAAATGCATACCTATTAGCTTTACCATCTTAAATGTATGAAGCCAAAGTTCAGAAGTGTGCTATTGTGTATTAATTTGCTCAAGGTGTATAACTCAACACCGTTATACAAACAGTATAACACTGTAAGTGATATAACTCAACTGGATAGTAGCAGTACAACCCCAGTGACAATGTGTACAGTATGATAAAGCATGAAAGAGCATTTAATATGAAAAACTCTCCTTTATAAGATAGGTTAAGATAAAGAGTGCAGTTATCTTCCAAAAATCATTTGACTGCCTTCCCAATTCAATGTTTTGCTGAAATTGGGTATGAATGTACTAGACTTGATGAAGAACATGCTCAAAAAATTTCATCGAAAACGTCCACCGGGAAGGCCCTCAAAACGTAGAGGTCCACCGGAAGAGTTCCCTATATATATATATATATATATATATATATATACACTTTGTATTTATCTTCACTCTTCATTTTTAAGATATAAATAAATATTTTAGGCATGAAAATACATATTTAAGCATATACTCGTATCATTTTAACTTTTACACATTTCATACATTCATTAAGACAAAGTTAGCTAATACGACGTGTTGAGGTTTTGTCCCGTAGATCCGAAAGCCCAACACACGCTTTGGATATTTAAGGATTTTAGTCTTGGTATAAAGGGTGTATGAAATATAAAATAGTGAATTAAGGCTTTAACTCAGGAGCTAACCTGTATTACGTAATACTGTGATTACAAGGGAATAACCCGAATGGCAGTCGGTTATGAGTTGGAATACAAGAATAAGATAAATTGATTCTATTGCTAAATTGATTCTATCGCTTAAAATTGATAAGAAAAATAAGTACAAAAATGGACTTATCACATTCTTAAATAAAAATGTATATCCCCTCGGTATAATGTAAGAGCGGTCGGGCAGTCCAAATGTTATTTGGGGCCTAACCTGCTAAAAATAACAATTATTCGGGAATGTCGTCCTAGACCCACTAAAGGGTGACCCACACGGTTAGTAGCCCAACTATGTGAATACTAATGTCATAAGTAAGTAATAGAATGATTAGAGAAGAATACAAATGCTTATGGTCCCATCTTTGGCATTATCAGGTTAAATAATGAGAATAATGTTTTATTTTATAATTATACATCATATAAATCATTGGGACCATCCTACACATATTAGAGATCAAAAATATGATGTAGAAGGTTGACTTGATCTAAATAAATGAGGATAAGTACAAAAAGTACATCTTATGACAAACACAAAAATAATAGGACCCATCTTTCCACTTTTGGAAGTATTGGTAGATATTTTGCTCCCAAATTAATTAGGAGACATAAGAGGGCGCCCACCACCTTCCTAGCACCTGCAAAACAGGTAGAATAAGTTATAACACATAAATGGGGCGGACGTATTGAGTTGAGAGCTCAAACAATACAAAAAGTAATAAATGAGGAGGACCATCCCATGTTTGATTGGAATCAAACACCCTACCCTCTTTTTGTGCACCACACACTCTCCTTGCATGATTGAGAGGACTCTTAAACACCTCCCACTCACCCCCATTCGAAATCAAAGGGATAAGAAAGAAGGGAGAGCCTCACAAATCATTCTAGAGGGAGATAGGAGAGCTGGCCGCAGGATATTTTCCAAGTGCGTAGGCCTTCTTGTTCGATTTATATCTTGAGTTTCACTGATCCAATTAAGGTGTGTGAGGTGCCCACTGAAAGCTCTCGAGAATAGGAATCCATATACGTGCGGCTTGAAGAAAACGGAGCAGCTTAAGGCTTCTAAATCGTCCGAACAAAACGAAACGTCGCAGAATATGTTTTTGGTAT